TGACACAAGAGAATAACTAAATATATAATAATCCATGTGAATTCTTACAGGTTTATTTATGTCATTCCTGGAAAAAATAGTTGAAACTCAATCAGGATCATTTGTTTTTTGCTTCTGTTAGAGAAAAACAAAATAACTGAGAAAAAATGAGAGCAGCACATTAAATGAGGGAAAAGAAGAGATTCAAGAGAGATGGGTTTTTAGCTCTTGGACAAAGACATATAAGTAATAGTTGTAGTTGTCCTTGAAACCGCTTTGAAAAAAATAGAATGGATAAAGAAAAGAAGAAGAACTACCCGCACCTCCATCGAGTTTCAATCAAGAAGACCACTGCCTCCATGAGATAAAATTCAGCAGCACCAGACAAAACAAAGACGTGTAGTTGCTAAAGAGACCAGTGCCAAACCATGCCGTGACAGCCATACCAAATGAAGTCGCTATTTTCATTTTTTTTAAGAGAGAAACCATAAGCCAATTAACAACTCTCACCCACACTTGTGTTATGTTCCAAGAAAGTAATCCAAAAATCGAATTTATATCAGCAAATAAAACATGGGCATTATCAACAACAAAAATAGAAAAAGCTGTCAAAGAATGGATAAATATGCCCACCTGTAAAAATTGGTAACTGTGAAACTGATAACAGTAATCTCTAATAGTCAACATACTATACTATTCCATGCTCTAGGTGCTCCAAGTCCAAGAAACCAACACACTAAAATCCTCTTAAACATGCCCTACAATTTTAACAAACCCATTAAACACAAGCAATATAGTTATTACAGGCAACCACCATAAATGGGTTCATACAAACAAATACAAACAGACAAAAACCTAAAGCCTGGTGGGAGTCGAAACTATGCTTGAACCAGTTCTGTCCACGGATACTCTTTTACACAGACTGGAGTTAGAGTACACATGGGTTGTTCTATAACATCGACCAATTTAACAGTAACAGGCAACAAATGTAAATTCAATTCCATGGAAAAATCACAACACGTAACAAAGTCATATTGCATAATAAATCGAAATTTCATAGTAGAATACGTAAAACATGGAAAATGCACTAAGATAAAGTTGGTAAATTGTAGGCAGAGGATAACCCTATTTCATATACATTCATTGAAGCGGTGTTGGCTTGAGAGCCCATTTACAAAGTCGACAACTCTAAACCGACGCCAATCCAAAATCTCCTATAACTTTTGGCTTAACAAAAAAGAACTAATGAAAATCAAATTCCAAAGCAAAAATTGTAATGGAAAAATATATATATATATATATATATATATATATACACATACACACACACATACACACATACACACACATACACACATACACACACATACACACACATTTATATATAGACCTACGCAAACGAACATGAAAACAAAAGTGAAATAGGTCACAAACATATAAATAAGCACCTAGAGAGAACGAACTTTGCTCCATACCCCAATTGTTTGTCGTGATTCGCGTTACACGATCTAGGGCACATCCATAAGTACGAATGCAAGAACATATCTACAAATCGAAAGTTTAATAACAATAACATCAAAGGTGTCTGCCCATTTATAAAGATTAAAAAGTGGTTAATGTTGCATTTTAACAAATTGAAAAACAAATAATTGAAGGGCAACGAATGGAAGGGTGTTGTATGTGGACATAAAGAAGAAAAAATGAACATTCACCTACCTGCAAATTAGAATCAGCATACGGTTCATCACGTGAATAAAAAATCAAGAGTCGAGAGTACGTGATCCTGACGCTGCCTGCTCCGCACCCCAACTCCACGTCCCATCCCCGTACATCGCCGTCTCCCTTTCCCATCTCCACCGCAAAGACAATCACGCCTAAAAAACAAAAAAAAAGTGGCAGCAAAACACACTTGATACAAATGCATACATGAATCTGAAAGCATTCTCAGTACTAAATCAGCGAATATCAAAGGTTTAGAAAATTGACTGACTAATTTTGCATGTGGTCGTACACGACCGCTCCCTTTCTATGCTAGGGGCCCCAGTATCCGTCAGCTCAGCGGGGATAGCCGTTGTGGGGCTGTTGTCACATGAGAGTGTTCTTCAACCTGAGAGTCTTCATCAGCTTGTTGTCGCTCTGCTCTGTCACCCTCACATGTTGCCTCATGATCTCCGCTGAGGCGACGTCATCGGTCTTCTCAGCGCGCACCATGAACCCCACCCTTGGGCTGGATCTCGGCCTCGACCTGCTCGAGGACAATGGATGTGACCCACAAGAGCTGGCCCGTCTAGACAAAAAAAGAAATGAAACAAGAAATAAAATATAACTTTAGTAAAAGATGACTAATAAAATCAAGAGTCGATTTAAATGTTAATATTACATGTGTCTGGCAAGGCAGATGAAATCTACTTACCAGATATGAAGGAAATGCTTGTTTTCTTTCTATCACCAAGAACTCTTCTAATTGGGAGAACATGATAATCAAACCAATTAAATGTCTAGACACCAATTTCAATCTTTTGTACAAACAATATAAAGCTTCAACTGTTACTTGATCACATTTCTTTTGTAATCACATTATTATTACATACAAATAAATTTCATTTTTCAGTTTTCACACGATTTAACTGAGTATATGTTATAATTGTTTGAGAACATAGATTTGACTAATACTGGTTTTGGCCAACTATTACGTGGTTCTTTGTGAGCGATTATAAAATAGAATTTTAATTGTAAAATCAATTTCCCACAATATTTTGTGCCTAGTGTTTGAAATGAACTTTAGATAGATCAATAAACTTATTTATCTAGTTCAAGTAATAGATATAAATTATAGTGTAATTGACGAAAAGAAATGTACCAAACAGTAATGCATTGTTCAGTAATAAGCACTAACATCCTATAGCAGAAAAAAAATGCTTTCAATATTCCTCAAAATTATAACTCACTATGCTGATAACAGAAATTTGATTCAGAACAAAACAAGACTAACCATCTCAAGCTAAAGCCTTCCTAGGTTTGCTTGCTGCCGATTGTGACTCAGGCTACAAAATAAAGCCTTCCTAGGTTTGCTTGTTGTCGATTGTGACTCAGGCTACAAAATAAAACAGGAAAAGAAGTCATTCATGAACAGGGAAAACTATAGTATCAACATTTACAGACCCAATACATAACTTTTTTGGCAAACTGCAACTAAAACCATAGAAACAAAGATAGTTGCCTCTTTCTTGGCAGGCTCTTCTTTCTCAGATAGAAACAACTCAATGTGACAGGGGGTGACATGTAAGCTGAAAGGAATTTCCTCATGTTAGCAGCTAAAAAATTTCATTGAAAGAGTTAATATGTCTCAAACTTAACATCACAATTCATAACACACAAAATAAGACATTAGCTAGCGCAAATATAACAATTGAACTGCAAAATAATTCAAACTTCAAATTACACATTAATTTAGAAGAAAAGGTTTGACATAGGATTGATTCGTCCATGTGCGCGATATGTTCGGCTCCTCTACTTCTAGACCCGGTTAACCTGAATGTTCCAAACTTTTTACCTGGAATAAAAAGACAATCAAACATTTATCTCTAACCAAAATAAACCCCAAAAATCAGATGGAAAGAAACCGAAAAAAAATAAGACTAAAGTAGGATACCTCCGCACTGCTTTCAACATTCTGTGAGCAAATCCAAGATAAACTTGGCAGATTTCACAGGCTAATGTCTCTAACCGTTAGAGTGCCTGTTCTTCGTCTGTGCAGTTGGTGAGTTCAACTCAATCATTAAACTAATCATTCAGTCATTTTTATGTTTGCAATTTTGAACAAACAAAACCAAAAAAAAAAAAAACCACAGTCAAAACATGCAACACATACAACACAGATGCATCCACAGAGCACAAAAGGCCAGCTTTACAAATATCCAAAAATCAATTTACCGAAATGAAAAACCCACAACAAAGATGATTGTGGCCACAACAGCCTGAACTTCTTGTTGGAGGAGCACGCCCATGATCACATCTCTGTTGGACACCAAGACCTGAAGAGTATTGATCTGCTTCCAGCTCCAGTGGATGTTGGGGCCGCGATGGAGTAGCCTGTTATGGCAGCGGAGGATGGCGGAAGAAATCGCGGCAACTAAGATTTACACTCACATCACACGAACAAATTTTCTTTTAAATTTTTCTCGATTAGGGTTAAAAAATGTAAGAGGAGAAGGTGATTAGGGTGTCAACCGTGGGGGGAGAGGAAATTGTGAGTCGGCATTCATATCAGCCAGCTTCTGCGCCGCCTTGTCCCGTCGCGCTGCCTCCCGAGTTCTAACCGCTCGCCGACCGTCGCTGATGGAACTGTGGTGTCTCCTCGGCTTCATTGTGTATCTCTAAATGCCAAATATTAATCGAGAATTTGAGAAATTGGGACTGAAGAGAGAAGGGATAATAGGGGAGAAAAATGAGGACGTGCAAAAAGCCATTTTTTTGGCTTTGGTTTTTGACTGACGAAACGTGCGCAGAGATCATAAGAAAAGCGTACCATAGAGTGTTGAAAAAGTTAGTGGCATCTGTGTAAAAAAGTGACCAGACTAAGGCCATTTAAAACAGGCAAAACAGGACACATGTCAAGTTTTTAACCCCTACAACATTTTCTTATATGTTAAAGGGAGATACAATCATATGTTACATATTACATTATAAATAAAAAATACATATTAATTAAACTTGTTTGACTGATTTGACCGCTGCTCCGACAAGTGAACTATTTTGAACTTCACCGGTTCAATGACCCGGTTCGATTTTGAAAACATTGATTAATAGAGATATACACCTCACCGTGGCACGTGCTTTTGCTTTTGGCGCCATTTCTCCCATATTGCACCCGGTTTTGCAGTATTGATGATTTGATTTGATGTATCGTCTTTCTTCACAAACCCAAAATACGCACTACAGAACACAAAGCAAAACCCTAGTCACCTGAACCTGGGAAAGTGTTCAGCTGTAACACAGTTTCTGCGGGAATCTGCACGCCAATGGCGGACGAGCCTAAACCGAAGAGGTCCAGGATTTTGAGGTCTATCCCTCTCCTTTGCACTACTATTTTCGTGCTTGTTTTATCGTGTTTTCCCCTTCTGGTTTTCTTACTCCATTCATGTAGACTACGCTTTGTACCTTTTTTCTATTAATTTGTTCTTTTGGATTCAAATGTCGATCCCGCTGATTTAGGGTTGCAAAGGTACAACCTTTTGTGCAGAAAGTATTGCGCCCGGATTTAGAATCATTTCTACTTGCTTCAGACGTGACATTTTTGTCTTTTTTCTGCTGCGCTTCGTTAATCATACTCCAGCTATTGTAATTTAGCTCAAGGCCCATCCTTTGACGAAATTAAAGATTTAAGTTTGTGTTTGAATGGCCTTTTCATCCGACAGTCCAAGTGCCTCGTGATTCTCTTTCTAGCTAGTTCTACTGTAAATTTGGGGGTTTTATTTTTTCTTTCATAACATTCTTTTCATCTATCTTTTTTCAGCAGACAAATCATGTCTCTTTATGGTATCTGTTGAAATTCAGAGATAAATTTTCCACCTTTTACTAGATAATGAATGTAGGATGCTTTGCTCTGGGCAATGATGATACTATACATTTGTCGTTCAAAGTTTATATATTGAATATTGATATGTATGTATTCACAAACACTCTGAGTACAAATCCATTTGTTACTAGGATTAGAGGATATGGTTTGAGTCATGGAGTGACGAGCAGCTTTTGCTGATCAGTTTCATATGCATTATCTAAGCAAAAGCAGAAATAAAGTGAATGTGGAATAAAACATCTGCAAAGTCAGCTATGAATAATTGGAATTTGTTACAGCTGAATACTCAAATGTAGTGATATGTTGTCCCTCTCTACCCCTAAGGGGTCAGGCCGGGTTCTTTTTGTTTAGCTCTGTGTTTGTTGTGCAATTTTGTCGAATAAAAGAAAAAAAAAACCTTGGTTGCTGAAAACCAAAAAGATACACGAGGAATATTAACCGTGCACTTCAAATATCTTAATTTCTATTTTTAGATTTTGCGCCTTTCTCATTTACGTGCAGGGGTGACGATGACTACATGCCAGGAAACATAACTAAAATTGAGCTCTGCAACTTCATGACCTTCAATAAACTGATCTGCAAGCCAGCCTCTCGCTTAAATTTGGTCGTTGGACCAAATGGATCAGGAAAAAGTTCTCTTGTATGTGCTATCGCACTAGGGCTTGGAGGTGAACCTCAGGTTATAATGACCCTAATGATCACTCATATTTGTTCGGTTTCCTATCCATCTGAAGTGGTTTTAAGATAAAAAAGCTTACATGTGCAGCTTCTGGGGAGGGCTACTAGCATTGGAGCTTATGTGAAGCGTGGGGAGGAGTATGGGTACATTAAAATTTGCCTGAGAGGAGAAACCAAGGAAGAGCCTATCACAATTACAAGGAAAATAGATACGCGTAACAAATCTGAGTGGCTGTATAATGGTAAAGTCCTTGATTTTCTTGTTACTAACAAAGAGTCATGCTCTCGTGCCTGAACTTATGCTCTGAGCGCGATCTCTTAGATGATAATTGTAAGGATCTTTTATAATTTAAAAAAGCTGTGCTGTGTCTCAGTTAATACGCGTCTGAAGCATATGCAGGTCAATACCATCCATTGAAGCATGAAGGATATGTGATGTTGATATCATTTATTTTAACACCTATTAGTTTTTTTTTTCTTTTTTTATTCCCTCTTGTGTGAATGAACGGATGTGTTGGTGAAAAGATGCATTCATGCAGATGACCTTCTTTCCTCATCCAACATAGCTTAAAGATGAATTCATGCCAAGGAGACTTTAATAGACTAGAGCGTCACTGCTCTCTGAACCACATCCCCCCACCACGACACTTCATTTCTTGTGTGAAATCTGGAAATTTCCTAGGATGAACATATTATCAGCGCTTCGTTTACAGCATAGAGTGACATAAAAACAAATTAAGCCTTTAATATTTTATTTATCTGGGGTTGCATTTGTGTTACATCTGAGATGAAATTTCTGAGCTTTGTATATTTGTTTAATCAGGTAAAGTGGTAGCGAAAAAGGAGATTAATGACGTAATACAAAGATTCAACATCCAAGTCAATAATCTGACTCAAGTAAGTTTTTGATAAACTTATTTTCTTGTGTAGGGACTATATATGTTCAGTTATCAAAGAAATAGCTCTTTTTTTTTTTTTTTTTTTTTTTTTTTTTTTTTTTTCTCTCTTTCTCTCTCTCTCTCTCTCTCTTTCTAAGGGTGCCAGCTTCTCTCTGAAATGCTGTTCGTTTGAACAGTTGATTTTACCTGATGGGGATAGTGTCTTTTCTCAGCTTCTTCTTCTATACGTATTATAAATATTTACTGTACCATTAAAACATATTGCATGTCTTTTAACTGAAGGACATATTGGTATATCATATCAATCGTAATGGGAAGGGATATTTCATCTGATTGGAGTACTTATTTATGACATCGTTCTTGTTTTATTTTTTGGATCCCGAGACAGTTGTCATGTGAAAAATATCATTTGGCCGTTCTTTGCTGCATTGTCTAGTATGTCATGTGCATATTTGTCATGGAGAAATGAAGCGTACCTCACCCTGGTCCTTGTGGATCTCTCCATAGAGCTGCTATTGCCTTCGTGTGCCGTTCACCTTTAACAACTATGGTCACGTGGTATTTTAGGATGCCATCTGCCGTCTTCTATGTTCCCTTTGGTATTTAATATATATTACAGTACTGCATTGCTATATGATCTTTAGTTTGTGTTTCACATTTCAACAAGTCGCGGTGTTTACCTGATAGAATACATTTTGTTCATAAGAACCTTGGAAGATTTAGTCAAACTTTTGCAATCTAAATGATTCTTTTTGAAAGATTCAGAACGTTTATTTGCTTGTATATGGGTTGCATATTGCTTTACTTTATTTTCGTAGCTTCCTGAGCATCTATCAACCCGTTCCATTTGTTTGGAATGCATTCAGTTTCTACCACAAGACAGGGTTTGTGAGTTTGCCAAGCTAACCCCCGTGCAACTCCTTGAAGAGACTGAAAAAGCTGTCGGAGACCCCCGATTACCTGTTCAGCATAGGACTCTCATATCAAAGAGCCAGGAGTTGAAGAAGTTCGAACGAGTGAGTGTTCATGTGGTCCCTCTGTTTCATACTCATAATGTTATCTGGTAAGGAATAAATGTAGTTATTCTTCTCATTTTACCGTAGGCTGTTGCCAGCAATGAAGGTTTGTTGGATCAACTCAAGGCCCAAAATGCAGAACTAGAAAAAGATGTTGAACGTGTTCGTAAAAGAGAAGATCTTTTAGCAAAGGTTTATTCATCGTTGTTTGCTCTTATCTTCTGGGAACAATCAGTTCGGTGCATGATTATTTGATCGCTCATATGCTTCCAGGCTGACTCAATGAAGAAAAAGCTGCCTTGGTTAAAGTATGATATCAAGAAGGCAGAGTATGTGGGAGCCAAAAATCAGGAGATCGAAGCAAAGGGGAAGTTAGACGAGGCTGTCAGAGCTCTTAAAAACCTTATGGACCCCATTGAGTGAGCTAATCTGCTTGGACCTTTTTTTTCTTTTATGAAAGCTCGTTGCTCTACTTATCCGTTGCACCTTTTCAAATGTATGCAACCTATGAAAGGTTAGTTGTTTTGCACGCAGAGAAAAGATATAAAAAGCTTCGATGTTTGATCGAACTTAATCAAAAGTTATAAAAAGTTTCGATGTCTTATAAGATTTTTCCGGAGCTGATAAGTTATGTCTTATTTTGAAGTGTTTAGTTATAAGAAATGTTGGGGCTCACAAGATTTCGTAAATGAGAAAAACAAAGGAATTTATAAGATGACAAAAAAAGGTGGGGTTGGGGGCTGGGGTGGGGTTGCTTTTGTTTAAGGAGCGCTTATAAGCTCTTAAAGAGCTTAATTTCTCATCTTATGAGCTCTGTTAAAAAAGATTACCACATAAATTTTATGTGCTTATAAGCCTTTAAACACTTAATTCATGGATGATGCTAAAATTGCAAATCATCTCACTTTACTATATATAGTCTCTTTTATGAAACACATGAGCTTTATGTATTTGTGTGTGTGTGTGTGTGTATATATATTTCTCTGTTAAATCTTATCAAGCTTGGTTTGTGTTTCAAAATAAGCTTGAAAATTTGTGTGACCGTTGCCTAATTTATAACAAGATAGGTTGAGCTAGGTCAGCTCTTGAAATTGGTGATGGCCATTTTCACATGCCAAGTCAATGCATTAAACTTCTTGTGGCCGATCTCAATCATTTGGAACTAGCTTAGCTTGTTTTGTATCTCTAGGTGTATCATTTGATATAAGCTAAGCACTGATTGCTTCTCGTCTTGTTTCTTAATATTTCACTGTTCAGAAAACAGAAGGCAGATAACGCAAAATTGGAGGCTAAAGTGAAAAAGATAAACGGTTTGCTAGACAGAAACATGAAGAACCGTATGCAGATTTTGGACAACTATAACCGTTTAGTATGTTTCCATTTTACTTTTATTATTAATCTGCACGTATTGTTCATGTGTTCCACCTGTCAAACTGTCTGATATTGTCTTACAATTGTAGGGAGTACTAGTACAAGGTGCGTATGATGAAGTGGATGATTTGAGGCATCAGGAAGAGTCTCGTCAATTAAGAATCTGTAAAGCTAAGGAAGATCTTGCCGCTGCTGAGGCTGAACTTAGGAATTTTCCTCCTTATGAACCTCCACGACAGAAGATGGTGCGTTTAACTCTCTTTTAACTGATGGTGCGTTTAACTCTCTTTTAACTGATGGTGCATCTGGCTATGGAAGGTGGCATATGTTAATCATTTATTCTACAGGACATACAAGTCACAAAGTTGTTTCTGAATAGTTATTTAAGTTCTTGTCATTTATTCGTATCCTTGTTTTGTGGCTATATTTAGGAAAATTTAAGTGCTCGAATTGTGGAGCTGGAAGAATCTGCGAAAGAGATGAGATATCATAAAAGAGAAAAGGAGAAGGATTTAAACCAACGCAAAATGAACCTGACGCAGTGTATACAAAGGTGACTATCAGCACTTTGTCCAACTATTTCGTTATATATCGGATAGTCTCAGCCTTATTTGTCATTCCCTTTATGACTCAAAGGTTAAGGGAAATGGAGAATGTGAACAATAAGCGTTTACAAGCTTTAAAAAGTTCTGGTGCTGAGAACATCTTTGAGGCTTATCAATGGGTTCAGGAGCATCGGAGCCTGTTCAATATGGAAATTTATGGCCCTGTATTGCTTGAGGTGCATGATTAGAAACTTGAGATTGCTATATATGATACTTGTATTCAATGCCTTAATCATTGTGATGTTAATGTTGAAACTACATATTCAGGTGAACGTTGCCAATCGATTTCATGCTGACTACCTAGAGGGCCATGTTGCCCATTACATATGGAAGGTACATATCTGTGTTATATAGCTTGATCTGTTGGACCTTGTTTTAAATTTTAATTCCATTTTTCTTATTTAAAACAAGCAAATAATTCTGTGGTTCTTTGGCATAAATTTTGAGAACTTCAAAAGTAATGTTGTCAGAACATGAAAGAAGATTAGGCTTGGCATTCGTATTTCATTTGCGCCTTTTTTTTGTTAATTTTTGAGTTTTATTTTTTATAATTTTGTGTTCGACTAGGTATAAAATTGAATGATCTAAGATTATTTTGGGATGTTAAGGAAGGCCATACGGCGTTGTCAATGTCGTTCCTTGGTTTGTATGGTTGACTGCAAGTCACATAAGTTTTAGCGCATCAAAGAGTCAAGTTTAGAGTGTTTGGATAGCATTATGTTTGGCATAGCTGTGTGGGTAGTAGGGTGTAAAATTATTTGTTTGTTGCAGCTTTGACTAGAGATGGGAGGCTAGGATTTTGAAGTTCTAGTTCAGCCATTGCAGTCTTCCATGGACGTCTTTTCCACTGATTGCAAATTTTTGTTTTCTATATATGAAATTTCTGTATCGTAACAAACAATGAAAAACAAAATGAATGCTCAATACAGTTAGGTGACAAGTAGTGTTCGATCGTTGCACTGGGAAAATAAGCTCATGAATATGTTTAGAGTGGACACTGAAACCCTTTAAGCACAATAATTATGTTGGTAGGGGCTGCTGCTTAGAGCAGTAACAAATTGTTATATCCATCTGTTCATTGATTATTTTGATCATTAATAAAATGAAATGATGATACTGTATGGCCTGCTGAAAAAATCAATAGGTCCCTCGGCTCTCCTAACCTTAAGGTGATTACAATCTTTCGGGTTATTTGTTGTTTACAAATGGAAAGTATTATTTTTCATGTAAATTTGTTCCATTTATGTCTCCCCGGCATAATGCCTGGGTAGTCTGCAGTTCCTCTGAATCACAAGTTGTATAATTTTTAGCTTTGTCATCTGTTTTGTCTATGTATTCTCTTTAACTTACTGGTTACCTTTCCAGGCTTTTATCACTCAGGATCCCAAGGATCGTGATTTACTGTATAAAAATCTGAAACCCTTTGATGTTCCCGTTATCAATAATGTTAATGATGGTGGCAACCGAGAGCCCTTTTGTATGACGGAAGAAGTACTGAACTGATGCCTCATTAAATTTCAGTAGTTTGGCTTTGCTAATAGCTTGCTGATCTTCTGTTTGATTTCACTATGCAGATGCGTAAACTTGGCATATCTTCAAGGCTTGACCAAGTCTTTGAAGCTCCCCATGCTGTCAAAAAAGTTTTGATTGGTCAATTTGGACTGGATCACTCAGTAATGCTTTTTTGTTCACTTTCGTGTTTTCATCATATGAAATCTTAGCAACAGTGATGATGATGATGAACAACGTTGAGCATCTCTGAGAGTGAATGTTGGCCTCATTTTTTTGTGGTTTTCTCTTGTCAGTACATTGGATCAAAAGAAACAGATGAGAAAGCTGACCTGGTCTTTAGATTGGGAATTATGGACGTCTGGACACCAGAAAATCATTATCATTGGTCCAGATCCCGCTATGGCAGTCATGTGTCTGGAAATGTTGAATCAGTAGGCCGATCCCGACTTCTTTTATGCAGTAAGCTTCTGGAAGACTGTTCAGTTCTCTGTCTTATATAATCTATCGGCTTGTAATTCAGGGCAAACTACTATTTCAGAATAAATTATCATCAGTTCTCTACAATGTTGGTTATCTTAATAGTTTAACAACTATTAGCTGTCAAATATAGTAGTGTATAAGAAAATAGATGGTTGTAGTTGGTTGCCCAGAAGAAAAAAATGGTTTTTAACTGATAAAGCTCAAACCTTGCTCTCAGATTTGGATGTTAAGGAAATTGACATTGCCAGATCGAAGAAAGTTGAACTGGAGGAGCAAATTTCTGTCATAGATGCAGATTTGAAGTCTCTGCAAATTGCATTAAGACAGAAGGAAGATGAAGCAGCTGAACTTCAGCGCGAACGGGTAAGCGATTGTACAGGGAGTTGTTGTCCAACCTTTATGGAATGTTAAAAATCTATGAGTGAGGTAAGAGAGTATTTTATTAGATGGCAATTGGGTGACAAGTAACCATCACAATATTCATTATCATACTTTCCCCAGCTTATTGCATTGGCTAGGCTTGAAGCTTACTGGTTAGAAGCCACTGAATATTGGTACGATATTCACATGGGTCAATCATTAATTTATGTTGAATTTAGCTTATTAGTTCCTGTTCAGGTCCAAATTTTTGGTATTTAGTATATAGAGGCTGCACATTTTAACTCTTTTTCCCATATGTCACTAAGCATTATGCTTCATATTTACGTATACTGTCACACAGAAACATGGCCATGAAAATTTACCCTTCTATCCCTATTGTAGAGTTCATCAGTGTCGGTTTTTTGTTTTCAATTTTGCAAGACCATGGTATAAGAATCATCTACATAAAGGAAAATCTCAATGCTCATTAGTGCATATAGTTTCTGCATGCAAAATTACATTAACCTTTGACACTGGACTGTGTAATTTCATTTGAAACTTGCTCTGTTGAAATGTCACAGAACTTACGTAATCAAATAATTATGTTGTATTAAATCAAAATTTTCTTGTAATCCCATGGCTCACACAGTTTTTTGTAAAAACATATGCGTGAGTATCATTTCAACTTACAAGTTACCATCACCACTGATCTTTTGACTTGCTTATCTGGTATCCTTAAGAGAATATGGTTCTCCATTAATTATTTATCTCCGTGTTAACTTGAGAGATGTTCGGCATATAAAACAAGCTGTTGTAGAAGCATGTTTGTGAGACTATGACATGGCAGAAGATGTATGTGCATCATTTCCCTTTGTTATAGTAGATAGTATGGATGTAAAAGTTCTCTTTTGTTCATGTTAGGTTACAGAGCATATAGCAGCAGCTAATATTGTGTGTCAGAAAACTCAAATACATCTGAGAGTTTGCGTGTTCTTCACCAGAAATATATGAACTATATTATTGTTTTGACCAAACAATATGGAATGGTGGTTTTTCTGCTTAATGCCCCTAGGTGAAAACAGTTTTAAGACTGCTAATAGCTTGTACTTTGTGCTGGAATGGAAATTTGTGGTTCTCTTTCTCTTTAACAGTTTCCGGTGATATGCTTATAATAGACATATGTGCAGGAGTGCCGACAAGTTGTTAAATGTTTTTAGATAATTTGATGCGACAGGGATTGTATTTGGTCAAAGTTATTTCTGCCGTCGGGGATGATGATGCTAGTATTATTTGTGTACTTGGTAAACTATGGGTATCATATTGGACTGTCCATATGTTAGGAAGCAGGACTTAATGCTCCATAAATAAGAATTAAGGAATTACAAAAAGTTATCACATATAAAGTACAATAGTTTTTATTGATGTATCACTTATAAAGCAATATTATTGGTGTAAGGAATATGCGTGAGATGATAACTTGATGATGACATCTCAGGAGGAGATAGTTAACGTCATGCAAAGCAAGAAGAAAAAATTGAGGGAGTTGGAACAAACTGTCAGTAAGTAAAATGCTGTTTCCTTTTTTGTGGAGAGATCATATTTTCATGGATATATAGATATGACATTGATTTTCTCCAATTTCAGACCAAAGGAGAATCAAGTTGAAGTCGATTGAAAGAGAGGATGATCCAGATGCTGCAATAGCAAAGCTCACTGACAAGGTTAAACAATTGAAGAGTCAGCGTTTCCATAGTGCTATTGAGGTTAAGGTGAGTCAGTTTCGGTTTAAAGTTTGCAAATATTTTTTTGGCTAGTTATGGAATTATTTTTAGCTTTGACTAACTGAAGATCCTGGTTTCTTATATTTCTCATTGTTTTCATGGTAGAATTTGCTTATTGAGGCTGTTGCTTATCGAAGAAGTTTTTCTGAAAATAACATGAGCTCCATTGAACTTGAAGCTAAGGTATGCTCCACCTGTTGTTTCGATACAGAAAATGCACGTCTAATTTTTAGTTATATCTTATAATTATATTAGAAAAGGATACAGAGAATGTCAAATAGCTGAAATTCCAGGTCGGCCTCACAGGAAAAATGTGGCATGATTGATCTTGTTGGGTTTTCTAAATACAGTCACCTGGCTGTCAATAGGGGACTATGCTACTAAAAATTTTGAGTAATTTTTGTGTTGCAACTTGCAACTGTCAAACTGTGCTTTTGCTATCAAAAGATTTTTTGTTCTTATTATTTGATTCTAAGAATCATGTTTACATTTGGTTACGTCCTTCAAGTGTCATAACTAAGTGCCAACCAACAATCTGTATGTGTCAGTAATTAAGAATTATAATGTTAAGAGATTTAATTTAATGGATCTAATGTTTGGTTTTTGTCTGGCTATTTGTAAGAAAATTGAAGATCTGGTGTCTTTGATTTTAGTTTTCATTGGTCTTGGAAATATAGTTTTGTGGGGATTGAAACTGTTTGAAAAGAAAAAAAATAGTTTTATTGGTGTCTCCACTCTTGTGTTTAGAGCTTAGTATAATTAGCTAGGTTTAAGTTACTTTTTCTTTGCAAAATGGATTTAGTTAATTTTAAGGCAACCTACAAAAGTAGGTGTTAACTTAGAGGATACTGGTACATTGTCAACTGCTAATGTAATATAAATTCTTACCCACTGAGCGTGGTTAGTTCTTGGTCAACTTCTATTGACTACAAAAAAGGTCCGCAACATGATGTGGTTGTGGTAAGATAGATTCTTCACTTTTTTCTTTATATTTTTTGGGTTCTTTATTCTCTTTGTCTGTTCTGCCTAGATATTATTTCATTTCTTCAGATTAAGGAGATGGAATCAAATGCAAAGCAACAGGAGAAGATAGCCATGCAAGCATCCTTATATCTTGAAAATTGTAAGTGTTGGACATTCTGCATGATGTTGAAATTATACTTTTCTGAACCTATGAGCCCAGATGCTATTTATGCATTTTATATCTTGTTTATTATGGAAGCATCCAACAGTTTCCTAAAGAGACCATGTGATAAGATGTTATACAACATCGTAATGACATCCGATAGTGACCAACTCACAATACCAAAATAAACCGGAGGGTGGTACAACTACTGCTACTATGTGTGTACTACAATCATGTGCCTTTTGAAGGATATGAGAAGCACATATTTTACGATTCCCTAAAAGCTGTTATTTGTTCTGTTAAATTTATATTAGTCATTTACAGACTCCGTAAGGATAAAAAAAAACATACATGGTGTGCTAAAGTTTACTGTGATTGAAAATGTCGGTAAAGCATCAAAATTTTCAGTTCATCTTATATATACATATTTTAATTAAACAAAGCAATCAAAATACTTTGAATCTGTATGGCATGAAATATTGATTACTTTCTGTGGTCTCCTTTCCATGTAAGTTGATGTAATATGGCTACAAAGATCCGATGTAGTTACAATTATGGGCGCAACACGGTTTTTAATTGAACAAACGTCTTCACTTAAGGATGTTGGACATGTACTTGTGGACAAACCACCAAAGAAAATTTGACATGCACACAGGCTGCTAGGGTTTGAGTCTGACAAATATTTTCTCCATGACAGTTTTCTTGCAAATTGGATGTAGGCATATAATATAAATATCATGGAAATCTTCAAGATGCATGAGCTGTTAACTGAGCCCTATCATTTTGTGGAGGGGCCAGTCTGTTGGTATCTGACGAAAGTAAAATATCTGCATGAGCTACCAGTGCTCGTGGTTATAGTTTCCTTCGACTTATATTCTCAAGTGTTCTCTTTGATAGATAAAGACAAAAGCCCTTCTAGTTGTACATCTCTGAGAAATGGATAATTACTGTTCTCGCAACTCTTCTTTAGTCTAGTTAGATTTGGCTTCACTTATTACTCAAGGTTCCTACTTAAGCCTAAGGCTCTTTAAATTTCTGAAACTACCTAAATATGATCAACTATTCTGCATCGATAAATTTTGTTCCACTGATTGTGTATGTTGCAAAAAGTCTAAAAAATATAGCCCTCTGATCATTCAAATGTGTATATTATTACTGTCCTAATGATTTTCGTATTTCACCCTGTTGTCTTCTCGTTAAAAACTGATATGAGATGTACCATGGTTTATTTTTTATAGTATATTATTTTTTTTATGGCTTGTTGATTAGGTAAGATTGCCACGGAGAATCTCCGACATCAGCTGACGGTTGCCATGAAGCATGCTCAATCAGTTGCTGAAATTACTCCTGAGCTTTCACAGGCCTTTCGAAAGGTTATTACTCTGGCTGAACTAATGATGCTGCAAAGTTTGATGTGCTTTTAGTACGTTGGTATACTTTTTTATAGGTTTCCCCCAATCAAGTGAATAAACTGGTTTTGACTTTCTCGAATAAAAATTATCTGCATTAGTGAAGTTTGATTATAAATATATAATCTCCAAATATTATTGGTTTTAGCAGTCTGGTATATTGATTCTCTGTATGCTGCAATTGCTTATTAGTTATAGCCAATCCCTTTCTGCTATTGCATTATGTGCTTCTTAGCTTGATGGAATTTAGTAATGCTAATTTAGGAAATTTACTTGCAGATGCCTGCTACTATTGAAGAGTTGGAGGCAACAATACAAGATACGATATCACAAGCCAATTCTATCCTTTTCCTTAACAATAACATCTTAGAGGAATATGAAAGCCGTCAACGGAAGGTACATCTCATTGTGTTTAGCATTTGTAAAAGACTTGCTACTTTCTTTCTTTGTGTTTGAAGACGGCAATATGCAGATTGAGGAATTGACAAGGAAACAAGAAATGGATGGAAAGGAATTAAATGACTTACTAGATGAAATCAATGCTCTGAAGGTTAGTGATACATCATCTTAAAAAATGTTAAAGCACTATTTTTCATATTATAATGTATAAAAACCCAACTATTCCGATTGTGGATTGTCTTCGAAGGGATGTTGGCTCCCAACATTGAGAAATCTCGTGACTCGGATTAATGAAACTTTTAGTCGCAATTTTCAAGAGATGGCTGTGGCAGGCGAGGTGTCTTTAGGTAATTGTCACGACTTCACTATCACTTCATTTTTGCAAGTTTTGCGCAATCTTCATTGCGGTGTCTAGGGATTTATATGCTGATCGGTCAATTTTATTTCAGATGAACACGACACAGATTTTGATCAATATGGAATCCTGATCAAAGTAAAGTTCAGGTAATTTAGTTTTCATTATGGCGTAAGTTTGTGTCTAACTGACGCAAGTTTCTGTCTTGCTTAGGACTTATGCTATACATTAGTTGTTGACTTGCATCAAGTCGTCCAATTCTGACTAGAACTTCCTTTGCAGATGCAAGAATTTTACTTCACCTTAAATATTCTCCTTTTTAGCGCTACTTTGTTATGCTATATTGTGATTTTTATGGTTTCCATTGTTTTCACCAGGCAAACTGGACAGCTTCAGGTTTTAAGTGCCCATCACCAATCAGGCGGGGTACAGCATTTGTCGCACATATATAAT